CCACGGTCACCTCCTCATTGAATAGCTTGCTGGTATCCTTCTTGATGAGGTCCAGGTACTGCACCTGGCCGGCAGAGAAGCCCACCAGCAGGGAGATGGTCTCCATCGCAGCAGTGAACTGGTTGAAGTCGTGGCAGGTAGGCTGGGTGCCCTTGTAGATCCGTTTGTCAATCGGCTTGTTGAGGTCAATGGACTTGAGTGGTGGGAGGGAGAGGAGTTAACAATTTACACCACTGAGGGGAAGGAAGAGGTGCTGAGGTCCAAGAAAACCACTAAGAGGAAGCAGGGTTAAATGCCTGAGGGAAGTGGGTAGGTGGGTCAGGCGCAACCACAGACAGGAAGGGGACACAAATCAGAGTGAGGGGAAAAACCCACTGGAAGGACAGCCTCTCAGACCACAGAGCCTTTCCACAGTTGTACTCTCCCACCACAAATTTTGGGACATGCCATCAGGCTCCAGGGTTCCCAGAGTCCCCAAGTTCCAATTTTTCCCACCCTACCCCAGCCCCTATAATCTCAGCAACTGCCTTGGGACTTCGCACAATATTCCAAGACCTTAAACTCTCAAGGATACCCATGTTTCAAGGATTCTGAAGCCCAATATCACAGAATCCCCTTCAGTTTGGAGTCTTTAAACCTAAGGACCTCTGTCACGGTTTAGGGACCCATCAACCTTCATGATCTCCCCATCAGACTGGTACATTCTTCACCTCTGGCCTCTGATCCTCATCATGCCAAGGGTCATGTCTTCTGGAACCTAAATCACTAAATGCCTGAGGATCTCATTCACCTATTACCTCTAAAAAGCCCATCACGTGCAGAATTGCTTTCATTCCTGGGCTCCTGAAATATCAAGACGGCCCTCTAACTAGTGCAGACTCCAATATTTCTGGGTTCTCCATCTCCTCGGAGCCTGCATCAATTCTCCATCACCTGCAGAATGCCTGCTATCCCAGAATCCAGGGGACCCCTGCATCATTTTGGACGTCCGACCACAAGCTCCATCACATACGGAATACTCTGCACCCCATAATCACCACGCGGAAGGCATTCCCTTATCATCTTTCAGAATCCTGCATTACCTCTAAGAATCGTGTTCCTCTAGGATGTCCATCACATCTAAGATGCTTTTCTCTGGGCCCCCTGTCAAATTTGGGGGCTCACCTATCACTTCCCAAGGACCCACGACGCGGGGCCGCTCACCCGTTGGCTCCCGCGGCGGCAACAGCCCGGGTAGAAATAAAGCTCGCGGCCCAAGTTGAAGCAGACGCGGTCTCCTCCTGCGCCCAGCCCCGCAGGCGTGGCGGGCGGCTCCCCGGCCCCAGAGCCTTCTGGCTCCCCGAGGCGCACG